CAAGAAGATCCTGGCCCTAAGGATACCAAAAAAGAAAAAATGAAACAAATAATAGGATAAAACTTTCGCAGACGAGAGTTGATTAATAAGATAACAGTTGCATTCATTATTGCATGCGCTTACGAACATACGACAGAGGTTAACGACAAATGGAATAAATGAACATTTAGAGTGCATGTAAAAATAATAGACTACCTTGAGAGCAGTAGTTAAAACAGTTGAAGCAGCATAATTTAATCCTTTAGCGCCGAATTGGAGGACGGTCGAGTAGCCCTTCTCAGTAGCTTTTTCAATAGCCTCGTCTATTTCCTATGACATAATAAAATTTGACTATGCCTACTGTTTCTTTGCGAGTTAACTGCGGATGTATAAGTTTTCTGTATAAGAAGCTAGCCCCTTGTGTGGCGGGAAGTACCAGCCAGAGAATGAAAAGGACCTTGAGCTCAAAATAAAAAGGGAGCCTAAAAATAGTTAAGAAATCTAAGTACCAAGAAATAAAGACATCCCCCACGGCTTCAAATGTGGTGAACATGGCAAATACTACCCAATACATCACAACGCGAACCTGAACTGAGAAATAATGTGCGTTTACCAGCTCCTTTATATCTTTATACTTAAGAGCCTTATATGACTTATAGGCAGGGTTTAGGACTCCAAAAACGAGGCTAAACGAAAATGAAGATTAAATAATAAGATCGATGTACATTGCAAGCCTGGACGCAACCCCAGAAATCATCTCGACTTGCGATCAATTAAAGTCCGATATGAGCGCCCAACTAAACCAGCAGAATAAAAGCAATACTATAAAAAAAATTTGATACGTTTTTTTCTAAATGTAAATTACATGAGTTTTATTTCGAATACTTGATTTTTTCAGTTTTCTTGGCGTTTTTTTCGATCGAGCGTTGGGTCCTAAGAATGGCACAATTCAGGCAGGAAATGCCTCCTCCAGGAGGATATAATCCAATAGAGTTTATCACCAAAAAATCGAGGATAAAGCCTTATCACTGTATGCGCTATTGACTGTTATTATTTGCCTTGCTCCTATTTTTTTATCAGCCTCCATTGTTAATTGCCAAATATATTATTTAACCCTCTTAGTCTTCCTCTTCTGTGGAACTGCTTACACCATTCAGTTTATCGGGCTGAAATTGCAAGCCTTCCTAAAAAGCAGACGTGAGGCGATTACGAGGGAGACGAGAGAAGGCAGAATTGCACTAACTCCCTTTCTCCTAGCAGAACAACAAAGACTACAACTTCGGGAGATGATTCGGCATCGAGAATATGAAAAAGAATTGATGTCTACGACTCCAGGATGGGAAGTTGGATGCTGGCATGATTATCCAGTTTATCACAACCCACGAAATTTATGGATCGCGCCTCATGCCGGTGAATTCTATGCTAACATGAATATGAACGTTGCAAAGAATCGCAAAAATGGCTTCCAATCAACTTTTATTGAGAAGTTTGGCTTATGATAAAATATCTACGATTACGCTAGTAAATATACCGAAGCATAGCAGTTAGATCACTTTTCTCTTATTTTTATACTCTTTCGGGTCGCTGGGCCACTATCATATTGAATCCTTTTCACTACATGCTTCCTGTTCATTTATCTAAAAATTAGAGCCCACATCCCATATAAATTCGCTTCTCTGTATAATCATCAAATGGGTTCGATAAATTGCACAAAGTAAGCACCTGAACCTTGTTTTTAATACGAGTGTATTTGTTATTTATTTATAGCAATCTGGTATTTAGTCACAAACCCCTTTACAGAGTTGCGATCAAAGGATGAGCGCGAGGTAAGAGTGTATTGATGCATGCACTATAGAACACTTCGTGAGCGACAGTGGATAGTTCATGAATAATACAATCCTTATCTGCACTTCGCAGTGTTTTTAATAGCTGCATCTAATATGAGAATCGAGTGTATCTATCGAGGTCCGCTTGATTCTTAATTTAATAATTACTGACTCTTTACTTCGCCGACAAGCTGGGCAGCCGTCAAGTACCATACTATGGAAAGCCGCATCTTCAGCGTAAGCCCTTAAAAGCATAAAAAATTATATATGGCTAAATAGCTTTTCATTGCAAAATGAGATGTTACTTAAATCGGTGAAGTGAATACCTTAAATAGTTTCTCAACCAGAATCAAGTCGGCACTACAATTCTAAGGTGAGTTCAAAGATAACCCCACGACCTAATTCAAGCGATACAGACTACGCCCCTCAGTCATTGATGTGGAGAAACAATTTAGTGAAATGGATTTCAGCTCGACCATTATATGTAAAACGAGTTTAATATGGGGATATAAATGGATAAGCCTAATCA